TGTATTTTATATCTGTTAGAAAATGACACCAAATGGCAATAAAATTGTTGTAACTATTCTACTGGGGAATATAAATGCCCTTTGGTTACAGTGTACATATCTTTATACATAATTCCAGTATATTTTCCCTAGAATTATGTTAAATATGTAAAAAGCCTTTTCTCATAAAGGTAAAAATGCTAGATGTTTCCAAGCTGTAATTTAGCATTAGTGTCAAGATTGCTTCAGAAAATAAGCTACAGTTACTGTTTCATTCTTTTTAAGTGTCACTCAGCATACCGTATCTGATCTTGTATTCAAAATAAACTTATATGATTTTATTCACTTTTCCAGAAGTGCAAGAGAGTTTAGACATAATTTATAGCATATGGATTGATGTAAATAGCTTAAACTAAGTAATTGGCTAGTCACCTATGCTGTCTTATCCTATTACTACTAGGTACTTTTCAAGTAATTAGGGAAAACAGATCTCTTTTATCCAGTAAGTTTACATTGGATGAATCCTTGACATTTGTGTAGGTTTATTTGATAGATAAAATCATACTATACAAAAACTTTCTCTACAATGCTGAGGTTTACTAGGCCTATAACAATAAACTGATTTTTTGCTGAGTTAAAGTGACTTATCTTTGCCCTTTTAATAAGAAATCAACTCCAGTCAGCAAAAGTCAAGATAAAAATCACCGAGTTGGTGTTATCACCGTGTAGACAGCAAACACGTACCACTATCAGTAACTTTTCTGTGCATGGATTTCAAATACATTTAAAATGCTAAAACTCAATAATTTCCTGTATGTTATAATAACAGAAGATTAATGAATAAGGGAAAGCATGAAAAGTGATTTATTTTAGGAAGGTCATTCCTTGGTTAGCCAACACCTAAATTGAATACTATAAAGGAGAAATATATTATAGGTAAAAAGGAAAATGGGTTTTACTGCATGTGAATTCCTTGAGTTTTACAATGCTTATGATAAAAGGACTGCACTTACAAGTTTAACCTCTATAATTTTTATGCTGCACATTTAAAAAAAAAAATCTTTTTATTTAACATTTCTAGGGCAATTTATACATCTCACCTTGTACTTAATGTTCCTTTTAAAACAGTTATTTTTGCCTTTTCCTTTGAAACCTATAAAACTACTTTTCATACCAGACATGAAATTTCTAGTTATACCAGCAAAGTTGGACTTTTAATGGGAATACTATACCTAAAGAAATAGGTATTTTAAAGAAGTTGTTGCACAGAGAGACATTTATGCCTGGTTAGTGTACTCCTGCACACAGCACTTACAGACTGGCCTTACTTACTGTAAAAAAAAAAAAAAAAAACCCCAAAAAAAACACCAAAGAAAGTATTATTAAAGTGAGTATTTGGCTTCTTGACTTAAAATAAGTTCACACTTAACTGCTTTATTGAATTAGGGCTACGAGAAAATCTTGCTTTCACTGAAGTAAAAAAGAGTAGGATGAGGTTGTGAATATACAACATACATTCCTTATGAGCATCCAATGACTTTAAAGCAAGATTATGCAAAATTCCTCCTATGCCTGTCAAAGAATATCTGCAGATACAGAAACATATCTGAGGTTGAAGTCACTGGGGGTTGAACACATAAATTTGAGGAAGAAGTTGGCCCAGTGATTTAAATACTGTTCTCATGTTTGCATGTTTGACGAGAGATACACTGCCACCCCAATAACCCAGAGCTCTCTAGCCTCCACACACACCTCAGCCAGTTGAATGCCAAGAACCTACTGGTCAGGCTGGCAGTACCCTCTCAACAATGTCTATATTTGCACGTGCTTTTTAAAGTTATTATAATTTCTGTGTTGTTTTCTGCCAAATCGCTCATTTCCTCCTATTATGAATATGCACATATTAGTTCTGAAGAACACCTACCAATACCAGCAACCATCACAAGGTAATGGAACAAAGCATTACATATCCAGTGGAGAGATATTAGTCCCGAAACGCTTGAATTAAGGACGTCCCACTGCAGTAATTAGGAATAGATGCTACGGCTCTTTCAGGTATGATTCCTGAAAGTCATGGAAATTAAAAAGTCAGAGAGTTTTCATTTTGCTGTCTTCAGAGCTACATGCCTTCAGAGTTTCTTAATAAAAGTGAACAAACAAACAAAAAGTTACACTGAAATAATTACATTTTCATCCTCGGTAGGTTACTGTAATAAAAAGCATGACTGTTTTGCAGGAAGACAGTGCATGCAATCCCCAGTTCCTAGATGCTGTTTAATTACTCCTTGTATTCTGCAGTTGTACAATAGCACTAGCCCACCCAAAAGAGAGGGAAAAGAAGTGAAAAATTGGTTGTTTTCTTGCTCTGTGGACTCTGCAGGAAAGGTAGATGTATAAGTCACAGCTGCTACAGACCACCCCTTTTCCTACAGGCTGTGTTCCTACAGTCCCAAGGCAGCATTTCCTACAAATATCTTGTCTCTGGTGGGGAGAAAGAAGCTTGCTGACCACGAAGAAAGAGGAAAAGCAGCTGTCATTCCTAAGACAGGGAGACAGTAGATGACAATCTCTGTCCTTGACACTATGGAAGAGCCCTCCCACCTTCACCACTGCTGGTGGGATGAGGAGGGGAATTAAAAACAAAAGGGGAGCCCATCTTGTTTCTTCCAATGAAGCATTGTACCCATTCTGGCAGAAAAGAGATAAAAGTATGTAAATAGATTAAATAGGTAAACTTCTGGAAAAGAGAAGTCTGATTTTCACCAAAGGGTGATGCAAATAAATACATAGAGCCTGGCAGTGAATAATTTGAAGCTGGAGAATAAGAGGAGACTTCTGACCAAATGGACTGTAAGGATCCAGAAAAATCTTCCCATGGTGTCACTGGAGACAAAATACCTAAACCACGCTAGGTTTAGGTAAACTGAACTACCTGAATCTTTAGGACTCTTCTAAAGATTCAGACTGAAAAATGCTTATGCATGGTGCAGTCGTCCACAGAAACAGCAGACTGGACACATTATCTCAAGAAGCCCATTACAAGCTATACTTGGGGTTGCAATACAACTTTTTACCTCTGAAATGATTTTCTAACCTCACCCAAGTACCACTACTTGTCTAGCTGCAGCAGAAGCAAAAAACCTGTTCCTGAGGGGCAGCAACAGCAGCAAATGGTGAAGCTCAGGTGTATTTGCCCCATGGCAGCTAACTTCTCACTACTCAGTGTATAGCTTTAAAATTCATTAACTTATAGAATATTCCTAATTTGGAACTGAAGTAGAAAGCCCTGACCTATAAAATACACAAATGTATAATTACATTCATTATCAGGTAAATGTAAGATCTGTATGTAAGTTTTACTGCAATTATTAGTTAAGCACCTTTCTAATATGTAATTGTATTTAGATCAACAAGTAAAAACGCTGTAAAGCATGCATTGATCTGCTAAATTAGACATACAGCTTTCAAGACGATGACATAAGACTCAGCCATGTAGATTTTAGGGATAGACTATGTTGTGATCTAGTGTGGGAAACCGTACAGAAGCATCAGTTCAGAAGCTGAAATCTTCTGGGCAGCTCACTTGGGGAGACAAAATTTCATTGTATGGTAATGTATTTCTTCTCCCGCAGAAATACAGAAGGGATTAACGAACTGAACCAGTGCACTGAGTTAAGATTGTCTCGGGAGTTTGAAGCTGCTCCTTCCACAGCCTTGTGGAAGCTGAACGAAAGCTGAGAGGAATTTAATTGGGAAAAACCATTTTGCAAAGAGCTACTGTTTGTAACAGGTGGAAGATAGGAATGGGGCTGCACTGTTGACCTCAAACAGGGGAAAGGTGTTCTAGCAAAAATCTAGCCAATGATCTGTATGAGGAGCTTCTTTAACAGACTTAGGCATGGACCCGGATTTGCTGTTTTCTTTGTTTCAATAATTAAGTTCTACTTCATGTAGGCCACATGCCTTCTCTTGTTTTCTTTGGCCAGCTCTAAGACTCTGGTGTCTTCACTCTGGTGAATCACAAGTTCCTGGGGCAGAGAATTATGTTTGGATTCCTTGAGGACAGTTTCCTTTAAATTAATTTTTCTTTAAAAGCCAAGCAGGGCAAAGATGTTAAGAATAAAATCTTTTCATGAAGAAAACAGCCGTCAAACTTTAACCAAAGGAGCAGAAACATTTGCCTCATGCTGCAAAGATGTACTTAAACCTTCACCTTAGAAGTGAGCAGCTGAAAACTTTGTACTTCAGCATCATTTTTGCCATTTTTTCTATGGTAAACAGACCTCCATGATGATGCTCCCACTTCTTGTAGGTAAAGTAATATTCTTTCACTCTACTTTCTCTTAGATGCCAATCTTTTTTTTTAAAGGTCTCTCGACACAAGACCGAAGGCAACAAGGAAATACATGTCTTCTAAGCACTTAGAACAAAAAAGACAATGCAGCGAACAAAATGCAGCCTATGAAACAAGTAATAAGTGATACTTTTTTTAATATCATCTTGCATTGTATTTTAGTGCACAAGCTGCTAAAAATCTGACAACATCCAGGATTCGATCTAAAACTTGCAAGATGCCAGTGAGTAATCTGGTGCCTTAGCTGTGTGTATCCAAGGAAAAACTAAGTGAATGACCTATCTGTAGTACTAGCTGCATAATAAATGCGCACAATACTTACAATGTATATTTATATATATTATAATTCCTGCACAGAATGACCTTATGCGGTTCTAAGCAATATATATTTATAAATAATCTCTATGTGTGTAGTTTCAATGTATATCTTGCATAATTGCTTTTAAATGGCTCTATAAACAATACTAAATTGCTACTTTGCACTGCAAATGCATTAACTCATTGATTTTACACTGCTGTTTAGGAGTGAGGTCTTCCTATGGAAGATTTCAGTGTATATTTTGTGCAGGGTCAGGCAGGTCTATTTTCCTGTTTTGACGCTGACCTACTTCTAAAGTGCACGCCTTTGCCTTCAAAATCTGCAGGTGAGGAGTCTGCTTGGACCTACCTCAACGATAGCCCCATCAGGTAGCTTGAGGAAGTGCCTGTAGAGCTCCTGGAAGCCGCTGAGATGAACGGTGTAGACAGAGACGTGAACGGTGGTACTACCTCTCGAGGTAGCTGTGGAGTCGGGGATTTCATCCTGGTGCTGGAGGTCACAGCTGGAGACACCAGGCTTGCCGGCATGGTCCTTCCAGATGTAATCAGACACTGCCACCTAGTGAGACAGAAGGCCCCCCCCCCATATACACGCACACACGTATATGCACACACACAGAGTCCCCCCACCCCCCCACCAAAGGAACATATTTAATTAACTTCTGGCAAGAGCTTAACCGATTTAAAATGATTTTACAATAAATCTGCAAAGCCTGTACCATATGCAGTGCTTGCACACAGTTCTCTACTACGTATTTTTTTATGACATAGATCTAAATAGAGGAGATAGACAAATCCCTGGTGTATATTCTATAAAGTTAATTCTGCACAGATGAAGCGGTAATTGACTCCCGTATTAACCAAAAGCAGGGAGATCAAGCAGGGTAGGTTAAACAATAAAATGGCAATGATGATTAAAAGAAGAAAGCTTCCTGAGAATTTAATGAACAAGTATTTGTATTTCTCTCTCTTTGAGAAGCCTTTGCACCTGTACCCACAAGCACTTCTTAGTCTCCAATCTCTGTATAGTATTAAAATAACCTTGTGCTGCTAACTGAATTGTAGATGAGGCAGAGTAAATAAGGTGTATTTTAGTGCATTGTATAAAGCTAGTTTATTGAGACAGTTACCTAGTTTCCTGGTTTGCTCTAAACACGTTTGCTTGGGTAGGTTTTGTACCTCCCTGTGTCAGTCAGAATTTCCATTTAACCTTTTTCATGTTAATTCTTTACTCAGGCTGAGCAGAATTCAAGACTTCAGATGGATCATAGCACACATCATAAGCACCCCTTATCCTTAACTAGAACTGATGAAGAGAAGCATTATTTTTATAGTCCCGCTGAAGTGCAATCTTTTTAACACTCCACTTTTGCAAGACCTTTGCGTCACTCATTTTCTCCCATGAGATGCTATTTCTGTTTACAGTAGGAAGGGGCTTGTGATATTGTTATATCCTTACAATACACCAGCATGCTCTTCCCAAACACTTCTACTTAATGCGGAGGAAATAGCTCTTTTGCTGGTCTAGCACTTGCCTTTTCTTTCAAGAAAATGTATTACACTGGCTGAAATAATTGGAACTCACCCATGAAGCTAGACATAGAAAACCTCTAACAAGATAGATGCATCGAAACCTTCTTTTGCATAGTTTTGCTTTTTCTTTTTTGCTGAAATGAAGAGCTCAGACTCTTAAAAGAGATCACAAAATCACCAGATACAATTCTCCACCCCCACCCCCCACCCCACCCCTCCTTGGGAAAAGTTAGATTTAGCTCAGTTTGCTTGTGCTCCAGTTCACATTTCCTCAGCCGTTCTTACGCATTACAAGGAATCCTGCAACTAGCACAGTGTGCCAATGCCACGATCCTGACGCGCACGCTGCTATTCTGAGCAACTGCCTTAGGAGGTTTTAGGTGAGTTAAGAAAGCAAAAACACACACTGGAAATTATCTCCAACTCTTTTCCAGAAATGAAAGAACAATAGGAAACTTCGTTTTTGTGCCAGCTTTCATTTACATCAGTCCTAAATGAAGATTTCATACATTTTAAAACAAGGAAAGGTCATCTGAAATTTAAGGTAAAATATGCACAGTCTGAATGTCCCACACCGAAGTCTCAGGGGTTAAAAGGCTTTCATTCAGAACAACTTGTTAGGAACACACAGCAGCTACAAGGACAGGACAAGCCCTGCGTTTTCTTCTGCCTATAACACAAACACGTCTTACATGCCTGCCATACATGGTTGCTCCGTAAGAATTAAGGTGGCCAATGCCCTCATGAAAGGCAGCTTCTGTTGGGCCAGTGCTGGCCATAGCAGGGAAAAACAGCTGCAAGAGCTGCCACACCACAGCCTGTGAAATGGGAACAAAGACCCTACCGCAGTTACCCTCCTCTCTCATCCCAGTGTCTCACAACTGAGAGTTCTGACCTGTCCAATCAAGAACACCAAGCCCTTCCTGGCCTCATGTCTTCTCCTGGATCTGTGACTTCAGGGAAGAGAAACGGCTGAGAAGAAAGCCAGCTCAGAAGCTCAGTCTGCAGGGGATCTACACAGCAAATGGGATGATGTCTATCATGATCCTCCTTTTATGCTAGATGCATTTTCCCCTGTATTGCTTTCTTCCTTTCTTCTGAGTGTTATCCTCCCTCCTGAATCAATCCCGCACATTCCCTTGCTTCTTCTCAGACCTTCATCTTAGTCTGCTTTCATTAAATCTGCTTATTCTTCTTTTGTGTACAATAAGTAGTTGGGTTTATTTACCATGTGTTTTGCAAGCCATGGATTGTTCACTGTGAACACCGCATCCTTCTCCGTAGCTCTGTTTTGCCTGTTTGAGCTGTGAGCTCTGGGGGCTAAGAGATGCATGTTGTGCTTGTCCGGCACAGAGGACAGCATGGACCTTAGACTACCTTCACACAAGTAAATTACCACATTTATTTTCAATCGGTGCCAGACCTGAGTGTAATTTACAGCATATAATTACCATGCTGGAAGCCAAGGCCACGTCACTCAAACCTTTGTGCTTGAGCAAACCTTCACCTTGCCAGGGCAAAGACCTCCTTCAGGAGTTCCTGGTTGTTCCATCCCGGTGGCACCGTATCCATACGAGACCAGGTACGGATGGCATCAGAAGCATCTGCCTTGCCACCCACCCTTAGAGCAGAAAGATCTGCAGGGTAGCGGGAGTAAACAAACCCACCTGACCTGTCATCATATTTCAAGATCTGGCAAACTCCCTCTAAGGACATTTACATGACTAGCCAAGAGAATGTGACAATACGGATTGGTATATCCTCCCCTCCCTAAACCCACAGCGTGAGCATCAGACAACTGAGAGTGAAAAAGCACCACCAAAACTATTGGTGCCGTGCTGAGTTGTATCACCTTGTTCCAGGGTAGGCATAAGTAGAAAGGAGGGAAACGGGATGCTTGGCTGGAGCATCATTCATTGACCCTTCCTCAAAGTCATCTGGTGGCCGGTAATTTGCCTGGAGGCAGACTCTGCAATAAGCAGTGGGATATAACGGCTGAAATCTAACCCTGGGAAAGGAAAGAACAGTGCTGGGGGTGCCTGTGGATTTGGACACCCCAGCTCTGAAGGACCATTCAATTCCCTCCTTGCTTGCACCATCTTGAAGCATTTGGCAGACGGATGTCCACTGCCTTGAAACTTTCAAAACACATTTCTGTGAAGTGATAGGTCACTAGAGAGCTGCTGTGGCCTACATAACCTGAAGTAAGCTCCAAAAGTAAACTCTACTGTCATCTGAAATTTCTATCATTAAGTTAATCAAAAACGTCCATTCATTTCTACAGGAATACAATATGAGTTAATAAATCCACCGAGACAGGCTAGTCAAGAGACTGTGCATATAGGACATGTCAGAGGAACTGAAGTTAGCTATGATCTAGATTCACAAGGGCTGACAAGAAACCACAAACTGCCAGAGCAGTGTACAGTAATCCTTAAATGAAATTCATCTTTCAGCAGAAAAACACATTAAGGATGTAATTCAATGATAAAAGAGGCAGGCCAGAACAGGTTCAAATGCTGAATATTTCACAACATAACTTAATTAAAGCAGGAGTGTGAGGCTGTTAATCGCTTTATAATAGTTCAGCTTGAAATGAGGTCTGATGTGAATGCCCTTATAGTTTATTTGTTTATATTATTATAATCACAAAATGTTACATTGACCTAATGCAAATATACAGTTTTCACTGGTCTTTATTGTGTTGGTTTCTTTTCCTTTCAATCCTCTTGTCTTTGTGTCTTTGTGCAAGTATACAAAGGGAAGAACTGGGAGGAAGGGTCATAAATTTAGGTCAGATCAGATGATTCAGTAAGTCTCATGTGGGTTTAAGTCTTATTAATAATTTTAATACATTCTTCCTTGACAACAATGATTTCTATCACTGCTCCTTTAACGTACAGTGTGACGTAAAAATACACAGTCTTTTAAAGGAATGGAACATGCTTCTCGTACAAAGAAGGTAAATTATGTCACCCTTTGGAAATTATAGCACATAACCTAGAACAAAAGACAAAAATATATTTCTAAGTACAGATACAACTATATCATGCCATACCCAGCGTATAGAAATATATTATTGAAGTAGAACACAATAACATTTTAAATACAAATATATTACTAAATGTATATTTATAAACATATTACGCATGATACACAGCCAATTAATATTGATGTTTCCAAGGTCAGGGTACAGAAAATGCCTTACTAGAGGGTAAAGGTACTATGAGTTTTTCTATTGTTTGACAGCTTTTGTAAAAGAAGAAAGGAAACAAGTATTCCTCAAATTTTCTGAGCTACAGTGGGAATAGGAGGAAGACGGACTTTTAGTGTCTTAGAAAAAGACATCAGCATAAAAAAAAAATCTGTAAAAAAAGTTGAGAAATATACATATACATGTGTGTCCAAACACTTTTGATTATGAGTAGTACTGATTCTTAACTGCTTGCAGCACTATTATTAGCAATGTCATGTGAATCAATTCCAGCTTCATACATTGCAAAATGTATAAAAAATGTTTGAAAGCAGCATTCAAAGAAAATTCAGTTATATGAACTAAATCAACCAGCTGAGAATGGGCGGAACTGCGAGCTGGTCATGACAAATAATTAGCAAAAGTTACAAGCTGTTAACTTTAGGCAAAAGGGCAAAAGTGTTGAAATTATAGAAAGAAAAAGACATCAAAAGTCGAGGGTGCTGTATTTACTTGAAGTAACTTTCATAAACATGGTAAGTGCATTTTCTGTGGTAAGAGTTGTAAATATGGGAATTGCTGTCCTGGAGGCAATCTTTGTTAAACCAGTGTAGCTCTTCAATTAAAAAAACAAAAGCTGGCTAGTAGTAACTTCTGAGGGAAGCTCAGCACCCCTTAAGTATTGCAAACCCCATCTCTGGCATGCTGTTGCTAAAAGCCTTGCCTGCAACTCCAGGAAAAGAAGAATTTACATGGACATGCCTAAAAACACCCTTGCTGCCAATGTCAAAGGCACCTGGGTGGCATCCAGGTGCCTCACACAGAACTAGTTGGGACAGCGGGGAAGATTTTCAAGCCACCATAGGAAGGATGGGGTACCTTACAAGAAATGAAAATGAACTGTTTGAATAAATCATGAAATTGGAGACATGGAAAGCAAAGGCATGAACAAGAAAAGCTATCAGGACTGCCGAAAGTCATACTGTCACAAGAAAGTCATGACCAGGTACACCAATGTCCCTCATATTTAATCCTTAAATGTATAAATTTAAGTATGTACACGTGTTTACACATATACTGTGTACTTTGGTGGCGCTTTTGTGCCTGGGGCAGTAAGGAACCGTGTAAATGTCTCAGGTTAGCAAAGGCCTTTGCAGAGGACGCCTGCCAGGCACATGTGACGTAACAGCCATACTCTGACCTACGGAGCCGGATCAGCGGGAAAGGCTTTCGAACCAGAGTGATATCCCCACCTACGACTGCCAGTAGTAACTCTTCAGATAGATAACTCGTTACTACATCGTCCTATTTATGAACATAATGGACCAACATAATGGACCAGTAGTATCTGGGAATTGTTTGTTTCAGTCAAATTATGAATGCCTGAAGCATTGTTGTTACAGTCTTCCCTGATCTATTTAATAAACTGACATGGACAAACTGAATGATGAAAATAACCATATACAGAGAATAACCCCTTTGTAAATGACAGAGGAGAAACCCCAGAATAGATTTATGGCAAGCTGCTTAGCGTTGTAATGCTAGGAAACAGTGGAGGGTCTTTTTGTTTCTGAATTGTTATAGCATCATGTTTATGCATATGTCCAAATGAACAGTGATGCAAATCTTTTCTAGGGGACGATTTTGATGTCCTGCTTTTAGATATTATGAAGCACGGCCACATATTTCTTAGCCACCATGCACCCCTTGCTAGTGTAGTCTGCTGCTTTCCATCCCATGATTTCACATCTAAATCTTACATGGTTTTAAGTCTCTACATGTGAGTTGTCCGTAAATAATATAAAAAGGTAGAAATAGGCTCTTCCAAACAATAACAAATCTGGAAAAAAAGTCATCTCAAGTCTTAAGTCAAGGAAAAGTGATAGTCAATTCAGCAAAAACCTTAGTGAGTGCAAATTAAAGGCTGCAGCTTTCTTACATTTCCTTGTGCATAGCAGTGCCTTTGTCCATTGATTTGCCCTAAGGAAAGGAGATAAAATACATTCCCTTCCTATTCCAGAGAATCCTGCTGTATTCCAAGCCCAGAATGGGTTTGGTTCAGATGGGTAAGAGAAATCTCTCTCCACGCCTCATTTCCCAAATTTATAAGGGATGCTGGAATCAGTTACTTAAGAAAGCATATTCAGTAACTTCAGACAGACAGGATTTTATATACAAAAGTGTTTAGGAAAAGCTATTTTCCCTATGGAAGTCAGGATTTTAATGCATACAAGGGCATATCTGTGTAAATAAGAGTGTCTGCTATTTATTATCTGCTCATCAACATTTGTTATTCATTACTCATCTGTTTACAAATGTAATGCAGTCAGAAAGCAGAAATAATACTATATGACTTTGGTGACCAAACATACACCAAAACCAACAAACAGTAAATAGATCAACGGAGTAGTTCATCTTATGGGATAAAATTTGCCCACAGAAGACATTCTGCAAAAATCTATGAAAATAGCCCCGACAGATCTGTAGAAAAACAACGTGGTTCAAAAAAAAAAAAAAAAAAAAATCTGTAAACAGAAAACAAAGGAGCTAAGTTTGTCCATTAACCTATTTGCAATGAACATTTTATCTTAGACTTTAACCTTTTGGAACAGATTAAACGCAGAGAAAAGATAGTTAAAAGAAGTAAGTCTGTGTTGACAGATTTCATTCACCATGTCTAAGACCACGCGCATACAAGATGTATGTCTGGGTATGAGAAATGCTTTTGCGCACCTGTGACTTATGTCAGATGGACAGATCTGTTCCTGGCAACTAAATAACATTTTTAATTCTAGATCACAACATGGGCAGTAAATCAGCTGGGAACTTAAATATACTGGATGTGGCTTCTAGTTGCGTCTTCTCCAGCTTGAGAAAATTTCCTCCTTGTGAAGGCAGAGAAATTGTGTATCCTTGTGCCAGTGGGGTAGAGCATAGTGTGAACTGTGCTTTTGTGGAACGTGTCTTTTGTTGTATACCTGACCAAGCATGGATTTTAAACTTTTTTTTTTTCTTAAAATAGTCTTTAAACAATAGCAATATTGCTGTGAGGTTTTTCTAAGAATCAAAATTTTCCTAATTGTCCTGCTTAGATCCAGCTTTTGTTTCAAGCAGATGGAAGGGGGGTAGGAAAAAGAAGGTGGAAGAGGAAAGCAAACTTCAACACTTTTGGGTAAAATATATATGAAAATCCGTGAAGGGTGGTTGCCCCCCCTTTAGAAATACTGTAATTTTTCTCTGATCTTTCAATAGTCCTAATGACTATACTGACTACTCTGTCATGGATATTAATTATTAGCAAATAAATCTACCACAGAGGCATCTAGAAACTCTTACTCACTCTGGGGCCCCGTTGCCCCAGTACGGACAGGTAGAAAGGGGCTGCCTGCAGAACAGAGGGTTAACAACCTATGGCGAGATCAAAGCAATAGCTCTATTAGTGCATATATGTGGCTGTCGGCTTTAACTCTCCCTAAATTACCTTATCTGTTTTTCCAAACAATCAGCAGTAATTAGGTGCTTTCTTGCAGACATCACTGCAGAGGTAGGGCATGGAGAGATAACTGAAGGAAAAAAGTTTCACAGCCACCTTCCTGGCAGGATGGACAGTAGTGGAAGCGCCTGGCATATTTGTGTAAGAATTTGATGTTCCATGGCAATAAAACGCATGCTGGTTTCATAGTAGAAAAGAAGGTAAGAAAGAAAATGAAGACAACAAGGTTCAGGTGTTCCTTTGTGGTCAACATTGGCATTGTCCATTCCCATTCCATCCCCTC